CACTGCAGGTGGCGTAACTGCGGGCTTGTAATGAAATGCCTTTATTTGTTAAATAGAAAGAGGCTTTTCTCCTTGACCTCAGCCTGGGGCACCCTCTTCTCCTCGGCCCAGTTTTTCCCAGCACTTAATCATCCTTTTAGGTTTCATCAGAATTATTACTTTCTTTCTTTCTTTTTGGCTGCACCTCGCAGCTTGCAGGATCTCAGTTCCCTGACCAGGGATTGAACCCGGGCCTCCACAGTGAAGGTGCCGAATCCTAACCACTGGACCACCAGGGAACTCCCGGAGAATTATTACTTTCTCACGAAATTTCTCTGACCCATCTGGACTAGGCCCCCCTCTTATAATTCTTTTCACATCTTACAGTTTTCCTTTGTAGCGCTTACCAAATTTGCGATTACCTATTCATTTGTATGGCTGTTCGTGTCATGTCTGTCCCCTCTGTTACATCATAAGCCTAATAAGGGCCCACAAGGATTATGTCTCTGCTGTTTACTACTGTGTGACAGGCACATAGATATCTTCATTGAATGAATAAATCAATTGATGAAAGAAACAATATCACTGGTATCCTGTCAGTTCTGACAGGTGGGAAGGAATCAGCCTTTCTGGACTGCACATTCAGGATGCTGAATGCTGTGGGAGCCTTATTTGTTCCTCACAGGAGAGAAACTGAAGCTCAGAGAGGTAAGTTAATCTGCCTGAGGTCACACAGCTAGAAAGGGACAGAGCTCGGCCTGCAATGAGGTTTCTGCAACTCTACTGTGAGTTCCCGCCACTCACTGCCGGTCTGAAGATATGGCCTTGACAAGCTTGCACTTCTGTCCACACAGCTCTGACTCAGGTGGGCTCACCTCCTCTGTGTTCACTTCATGAAGGGCCCAACTTCATTTAGAGACCAAGGCAGCAAATGGAATATTACAAGGGCAAGTTAGCCATCAAAGTGCCACTCTAAAGGCCAGGAAGTCTAAAGTAGTTCCTTATTTCACAATAAGGTGGGCTTTTAGGAAAACTAAGTGTTATCCTTGTATTCTAATGATTGAACACTTTAACTACAGTTTTCTTCTCTGTACGCTTTGTAAGTTTTTAATTACTCATGATCATAAACCACTTAATTACATACGGTGGCCTGTGGATTATAGCACATCTCCCAAACTGGCTTCTTTCCACTTTGCTTTCTTATACTGCTGCTGAGTCCCAAGTCCCTCCCTCATCATGCCCATAATTGAAAAGTCCCCTAATGCCCATCATAGAGGTCACAGATCCAGAGGATGGTGGCTTCTGCCAGTATCTTCAATTTCAGCAAGTCCTGGAGGACAGCAGTGGCTTATGTGACATCACACAGCATGTTAGGACAGACTCTAGGTCTTCCCTGATCTGGCTTCAACTTACCTCCTCTGCTCTCTTTCTAACCACTCATGCCTCTACTCTCTAGTCATTACTTACTTTTTCATTTATTTACCTCGTACTTTATTCACTAGTTGTGGAGCATGGGCTCAGTAGTTGTGGCTCGCGGGCTCTAGAGTGCAGGCTCAGGAGTTGTGGCCCACAGGCTTTGTTGCTCCGCGGCATATGGGATCTTCCCGGACCTGGTATCAAACCCGTGTCCCCTGCATTGGCAGGCAGATTCTTAACCACTGCACCACCAGGGAAGTCCCTATCACAGTGTTTTGCAACTGATTTTTTCCCTTTAATCATATGTCTTAGAGACATCTCCATGTCTGTACACAGAGATCGACCTCTTTCTTTTTAACTGCTGTGCTATGTTCCCTAGTGTGGATGCATCATACTTTCATTTGTCCTCTATTAGAGGGCATAGTGGTTAAGAACAGGCTCTAGAAACATTGCCTGGGCTAAAATCCTGCCACTACCACACACTGCCTGTGTGTGTCTCAGTTTCCTCATCATGTTTGTTACAAAGCACTTAGAAGAATGCTAGTCCCCAATAAATGTTAGATATTGTGAGTCCTTTCTCATTATCACAAACATTATTGCAGTGGACATCCTTCTATTTTTGCCTTCATGTGGACATATTTAAGTAGTATAGATTCCTAAAAGAGGAATTGTTGTAATAAAGGGTAGGCATACCTTAAATAGTGGCAAATACCGCCAAAACGTTCTTTAAAATGACTACACCAGTTTACATTCTCACTATGGAAGAAACTGCCAATTTCCCTTCACCTTTGCCGATACTAAATATTATAAATCTTTTTAATTTTTGCCAATTTTATGGGCAAACAAAATGGGATCCTGTTCTAACTTGTATTCCCTTAATTACTACTGAAGATGAGCATTTTGATCCGGGAAGATCCCACATGCCGTGGAGCAACTAAGCCCGTGTGCCACAATTACTGAGCCTGCACTCTAGAGCCCACGAGCCACAACTACTGAGCCTGAGAGCCACAACTACTAAAGCCCGCGCACCTAGAGCCCGTGCTCCACAACAAGAGAAGCCATCGCAATGAGACCACACGCCACAACTAAAGCCCATGCGCAGCAACAAAGACCCAACGTAGCCATAAACAAATAAATAAATAAAATAAAATTTAAAAACAGACAAAAAAAACATTGTGATATGGCATAACACTATATATGTGGGAAAAAGATACATATGGGTGTATACAAATACATATGAGAATGGATAAAGGCCTTGAATGATAAGAGAATGTGTGTGTAGGGAGATTTGGGAGAGTGATTTTTCAAGCTATGTTTATATATTTCTGGTTCGTGTGAACTTTTACAAGAATGTATTTGTGCTCTCTTTAGGTAAAACAAGAATTGTCGTACTGACCGAAAGAAATTAAGGTTTAAGTCGTATCAAGAGATTAGTCTTCTTTTCTTCCATGTAGACAGTGGTGTAGGTCTTGGATAAAAATCTTCTCCCCTGTGGCTTTTTCTAGCCTATGTAAATGGACATATGCAGAACGTGCCCATTACCTGTGTCTTGTTGATCATTACCTTTTTCTTTTTAAGTAAGGTTTTCATGTCCAGTATGTGGGATCATGGCTTTCTGTTAGTCCACCAAGCTCCATAAAAATATACGGCCAGCCAGTTGTTGAAAAATTAATTTGAAAACTGAGAACCACATGGTGTTCCTTTTGCTTTGCATACTATATTGTCATCAGGTAAAAGGATTGGTAATCATGGATTAGCTCATTATTTTGCTTCAGTGAAGAAGCAGGTGTAGCGTCTAGCTCACTCTGTCCTCTTGGCGTGGTCTGTGGAGGTATGAATGAGTCACTCAACATACACACTTAAAGGACTGACCTTTGACCAGAAGTCAGTGCTACTATCTGAGAGAAAAAAGCTGTATTGGATCCTCCAGGACCCCTTCCTGCCTAGTCCAAGTGAGGGTGGCTTTAACACAAAAAGGAATGATGAGACTCCTGGAAAACTCACTGAATTAAAATGTTACTTTTATAAGGTTAGGCCTTTGGAACTAGGTTGCCCTTTTATGGGCTTCTCTCTGACATGCCGTTGAGAAAGGTTCTTAGGATTTTTACTACTTAATGGATATCAGAGTGGAGATTTTTGGAGTGGCCCATCTATCTTATGACAGTTTTTCAGTTTTTGAAATTGAAATGCTCTCTTAAGCATCTTCAAGGAAAAAAGAAATCCCATTCACTTAAAAACAGCTGTATTCATCGCCAGCTCTCACCGCTACTCATTTTACATAGTGTGTACAAACTATTTTTTGTCCTCGTTGTTTTCTTCAACCTTATTTCCAATACATCTTTTCACGTACTTCCCAAAATTTGACGTGCTTGACTTGAATCCTGCATACCTGCCAGGATTCCTTCTGTTAATGTGACAGAACTTGTTTGGATTATTCCCCAATTGTTGGACAACTGGGTCCATTCCCAGGTTTTGGTCATTATGAACATTCCGAGTAGCCCTGCTATAAACATCTTTATGCAAGTTCTCCCCCCACCCCGCTTTGGATCATTTCCTTAGAAATGTACTTCCTTAAATGGGTTTACTGGGTCAAAGGGGCTCAATGAACAGTTTTACAGCTCTTGGCACATACTTTTCAGATTGCTCCCTGGGTGGATCTGACCAATGGCAAGGGCCGCGAGAGGCAGGAATGTGGACGAGCGGCCCCTATGACCGCCCCTCTTCCGCCCCCCCAAAAGGCAAAGACCTCGAGAAGGTCTGCGGAGGGAAAGCATTTTTCTATCGCCCTCTTGTTCATTTCAGGGTTGGTGTTTAAGTCCAGCTGGGAAGGCGACTGTTAGGGATGCGCAGAAAGGTTTCCGGGAGTCCAGGACTCCTGCCCTGCGGACAGAAGCAGCTCTTCCAGGCCCTCTTGCCCCAGGACTTGGATTCCAACCGCCCGTCCTCTTCGAGTTTCCGATTCCCAAGGCACACCCTCCCGGCCTTTCCACTAAAATCTTCGTGGCCCAGACAGGCCCCTTGCAAGCGCAGAGCTCCGCAGGCGAAGGCAGCGAGTGGCGGTCGCTATTATTTTGGCGCGGGTGATGCAAGGCCCGCATAGCTGCGCGCTGAGTCAGCTGGGGCCGGGCGGAGGCGGGGGGCGCGGACCGACCCATCCCCCCGCTACAAGCCGCCTGCCGCCCCCCACCCCCCGGCCCCGCGCCGGGTGCGGCCGGGCCGGGCCGGGTCGGGGCGGTGGGGGTGGGCCTCCGAGTCCGCGGGGTCGTCCGCCCGGGCAGAGTCAGGCGGGAGCGGAGCCGCGGGCCGACCCGAGCCCCCGGCGTGCCCTTCCCTCCCCCAGCTGGAGCTCGCGGGTCAAGTGAGGCAGTGACCGCGCGCCCAGCCATTTACCCTCTGAGAACTCAAAAAGGGGGAGGAGGAAGCGGAGAAGAAAAGAGACTCAAAAAGGAGAAATGCGAAGCGAAGCAGACAGGAGGAAACGATAAAAAAACGAGGAAGGGGGCGAGAGGAGGAGGAGGCCGGCGGGCGGGGGAGGTGGCGCGCGCCGCGCGGGGCGGGGCGAGCGGGGGCGCGCCGGCAGCCGCGGGCCGAGGGGCTTGTGGGTAGCGGCTGCGCGCGGCCGTAGACAGGCGCCGCGCGGGAGTGTGTGAGGGGTGCGGGCTTGTGGGACTGAGGCTGCTGACGGCGGTCATGGGAGCGGGCTGGCGGCGGCCGTAGTCGTCGGATCCTGGGCTTCAGCTTCCCCGAGCCCCAGAGGGCGGGACAGTCCCGGCCCGGCGGTGGCGGCGCCACTTCCCCGCTCCCGCCCTCGGAGTCCTGAGGGAGCTCGCGGCGGAGGAGCGGACCGGGCGGCGCGAATCTGACTGAGGGGCGGGGACGCCGTCTGTTCCTCGCCGTTCTCGGCCGGCCCGGCCTCTCCGACACCCCCAGGCCCCGGGGCGCTGAGACCTGAAACCGGAGCTCGAGGCGGGCGGTGGGCCCGGGCGGAGCCCCGGCCGGAGCCGGCGGTTCGAGGGCGGCGCTAGGCCCCGAGGCGGCCGGGCCGGAGCGCGGGGAGCGGGGTGCGGGCCCGGCGGCGGCGGCAGCGGCATGAGCCGGCCCCCGCCGACGGGGAAGATGCCCGGCGCCCCCGAGGCCGTGTCGGGGGACGGCGCGGGCGTGAGCCGCCAGAGGAAGCTGGAGGCGCTCATCCGAGACCCTCGGTCGCCCATCAACGTGGAGAGCTTGCTGGTAGGTGGCCGGGGCCCGGGAGCCCTCTCTGCTGACCGCTCACACCGCCGATTCCCCCGACTGCCCACCCCTCCGTGCCCACCCATCAGTGGGGGGAGGTCTCGCCCCACCCCGCCCAGCTTCCGGCAGCCGGGGCCCGGGTCGGAGACCAAACACTTTTGCGACTAAGTTCCGGGAGTAGAGACCCACCTTTGATTCTTGTGTCTCCTGGAGCCGGTGTCATCCCCGGCTGGCCCTTTCTTGGAGCTCTGGGAGGAAGCACCCCTCTTCTCCTTCCTGCCTGCCCTGGGGGTTTGGGGAGGTAGCGTGGAAGGTACGCTGTCCTTCAGGCACCAGGCTAGCCCGTTTGCAAGAGCGTCATGCTGCGTGGGGACGTGAGTCCGAGGAAGCGAGAAACCTGGGGCTGTTCCTATGGGCAGTACCCACCTGGGGTACAGGACAAAGAGTTCAGTCTGAAATCTTGAAACACACAGCTAAGGTTTTCCTGTTTTCAGCTGTGTTTGAACGTTACTAGTTGCAATTTAGTGCATTTTAATTTCTGTAAATTTAATTTCCGAGATTATTACACCAGAGCTAAAGAATCCATCTGAATTGTAGAATGGAATCAATCTCTCCTTTTCATTGTATCTCTTTCCTGAGATGGCCTTTGCAATCCAAATTGATAGCCACGTAACGTCTGCTAGTTGGCTTTGTTTAAGAAAGGGACATGATTTACAGATCAGAAACGCACTGTAGAATGCTTGTTTATTTCTTGTTTTTGTTAGGATAGACTGTTGTATTTCACAGACTCTTTGATTAATATGCAGTAGAGATGCATTTATGGGAAAAGGGGGTGTGGGTTTTTACCCTGGAGAGGAGAAGAAAGCGAAAAAGATGCGCTGGATGTTAAATTAACCCTGGACGACTAGAATTCAGGTAGATGATCCTTGGGTCCTTCAGATATTCCCTTCCAGAACTCCTGTTCAGCTCTACTCCCTGACAGGAGAAATCTATTGACTGTATGATGAGAAAAACTGTCTCTTCCCTTTCCAGTGACTGACTGACTTTCCTTCAGAAGCTGTTGGTTATCCTTTGAGGTTTCTGGAATCATTTGCAGAGTGACTCAGTACCGTTTGGTTGAAGTGCAGGAACTGACTAAAGAGTGTCTTTCTGTACAATGCACAGAATGTAGTGATGTACTGTATTCTGTAAGACGCGTTTGACATTTCCTCTTCCCGATTTTCATATTAGTGGGTTGTTCATATGTTTTCATGGGAGCATGGCACTATGAATAGTGTTTAGAAGTCTTCAGTTGGGGCTGGGATTGGTTGCATGAAGGGCATAGCTTTTCCAAGGCCAAAGCAGAGACTCTGGGCTTCACTCCCAGCATTTTCGCTTTGGTATTTTGCTAGCAAAACTTTGACCTAAGGCCAGAAAGTTCAGTTAAAAATAGTACAGCAAATCTCAAGTATTCATCAAGTTCATATTCAACCTCAGATAGAAATTTTTTACACTTCACTTTCATCTCTTGGGTCTTTACTGATGTTCATCATAATTATTAGGGTTATTATGAGCTTGAGCCTAAGTTATTTATACATGGTAATGAGCATACATTCTTTTTTATTAAGGTATTTTCTAAATTATTAAAATGAAGACTGTTTTTAAAAAAAGAAGCATTACACATGCTCAGTAAACAATCTGGTCCATTCATTTATTAAGTGCCTAATACAGCCAAGACACTTCACACCTTTATTAAGGTAACATACTACTGGTATGACGTCAGATGCTGCTGACTGGACGGATTTTGTTTTTGCTGTTTTTAGCTGATTAACTGTTAGGGTTCTGAGTTGCAGTAAATCTTATCAGGCCAAAAATTGTTCTTTACTCTTTGAGGTTGCTGATGTTTCTATTGCAAAATGACGAGCTGAAGATTTTTTCTAAACCATGTTATAGTAAGTTAGCTTTAAATCATGTGTATTTCACTGTATCAAGTAGTAGAACGAATTAGTTTTTAAAATTGTGGTAACATGTACATAAATAAAATTTACTGTTTTAACCATTTTTAAGTGTACAGTTCAGTGGCATTGATAATATTCACATTATTGCGCAAGTATCACCACTATCCATCTCCAGGACTTTTTCATCTTTCCAGACAGAAATTCCAAGAATTAATTTTTTCTTTTTTTTAATAAATTTATTTATTTATTTGTTTATTTTTGGCTGCACTGGGTCCTCGTTGCTGCCCACGGGCTTTCTCTAGTTGTGGCGAGCAGGGTCCACGCTTCGTTGCGGTCCGCGGGCCTCTCATTGCAGAGCACGGGCTCCAGGCGCACAGGCCTCAGTAGTTGTGGCAGGTGGGCTTCAGTAGTTGTGGCACACGGGCTCAGTAGCCGTGGCGCACGGGCTCAGTTGCTCCGCGGCATGTGGGATCCTCCCGGACCAGGGCTCGAACCCGTGTCCCCTGCATTGGCAGGCGGACTCCGAACCACTGCGCCACCAGGGAAGTCCCCAAGAATTAATTTTTAAAAGAGTGTTATAAAAACATATTTCCTGAAATAATGGTGCGGATCACTTTAAAGATTTGAAACCTTACCCTTTAGCCTTCATGTCACAACTGGTCATTGTTTTACTGCAAATGGCATTTCTTTTGGTTTTATTATAGAAAATATTTTTCCTTGAACAGAGAAAATTTAAAGTAATATAATCTGATAAAAACATAGTCACAAATTTTATTTACTTATTCAGGAGCTTAGAAAGTACCATTTAAAATTGTATACTGCCTAAGATGACAAAAGTAAGAAGATGAAGTATACCAGAAATTACTGTATAATAGTTACTCTATGGGTACTGTAGGCTAGGCCTAGAAGGTAAAACTATTTGTTGGAAAAAATATTATATAACATGTAAAGTGCTTAGCTCAATGCTTGGTACATAGTAGTGCTCGTTAAATTTAGCTCACTTCTGTGTGCATTTAGCATATTTCTAGGTAAGTGCTTTATATTTCCTCTGAAAAGGAAAAGGTTTTATTGGCAACTATTTCTTGCCATAAAATTCTGAATGAGTAGCATTATCTTTTGAATTTGCCATCAGAAAAGTGCTAGCAGTCATCAGGCATAGCTAGAACTGGATTCCAAGACTGTCCCTAGAGAGACTAAATTGTCTTTTTTTCTCTGCATCATCTCGTTTTATGGAGGCTTTATGTGAGTCCTTAAGATTAATCTGAAGAGAATATATCCCTTTGTGGTTGCAGATTGTGAGTTTCTTGGTATTATTTAAAAATACAGTTTTGAGAGAGATTTGCTTCTGTAATACTTTTTTTTTTTTTTGGAGGGAAGGATTGTCAGTAGTATGCTTTTGCAGTGTTTGAAACTTTTGGGTAAATACCCATGTTTTGTTATCAAGACTAAGCTTCTGATACTGCTTACCCAAATATTATGGTAAAAAGAATTGTCCTTTAGTGTTATGATGGAGAGATGTCTTTCTAAAGGTCTGTGCTTTTGTGTTTTGATTTATTTTTTTAGGAGAGTAAATGATTGTTATAACCTGTGGGATTCAGGCTTGGGTAAACTGTTCCATTAGGCTGGTGTTGATGGGGAAAGGTGATTAAAAATTTACTTATGATTTTCAGCCACTTAGAATACAAAACACTTTGATTTTATTATACCTGTGAACTGTGTGAAAGTATTTCTTATCACAGTGCTAAGATTTTCAGCTTGGTGATGGTTATTTGCTTATTTAAAATAAAATTGTATATGCATTTTCCCCCCACTATATAACAAGTGTGAATATCATAAAGATACAAAAGTGAAATAGAATAAAAATTGAATAAAGAAGGTTTTATATGTGTTGTTCTTTTGTGAAATAAACGTTGGGCATTTATAGCATAAATGGGATTATATTACTTTGAAACTTGCATTTTGATGGTCAGGAAATCTTTAAAGAAAATGAATTAGCTAGAGAGGTTGAAAAAAGTAATGTATAGAATTTACTAGTTAGGTGAAGTCGAACCCCTTTGAAAGTACAGGTCCACAGTCCCTCCCCCACAGTTCTGATATATAAAGAGCTCTGAAAACCTAGTTTTTGGTAAAACTTATTTGATGTAACATCTGACCTGATCTGATGTTACAGTATTTTAGGTGATTCATCTCTCTTGGTGTAAATAGTAATAGCTTTCCCTGGAGAAATATTAGTGTTTGATTTCAGGGTGCTACCTCAGACTCCCCAGAGGGTTTTCAGGAATATACTGTATATAGTATGTATACTTTATTACTATTCGAAAATCCAAAAAATTCTGAATTTGGAAACATCTTGCCCCACGGTAAGGCCAGCATAGACTAAGTAAGGAAATATTGACTTATGTACACCTTAAATAGTTGTAAAGAAATAGTGGATAATTATCTTGAAGCCTAAGTTGTTGTTGTCGTTGTTTTGGTTGAGTCCTGATCAGATAGCTCTCTTTTCCCATTTCAAATTCTGAAGTATTCTAAACATACTAAGAGAATATAGCATGCAGATATGAATTATGAAGCATAAAAAGCAAGCATTCATGAAATCACTGCTCAAGTTAATGAATAGAACACTAACCTATTGAAGTTACCCGTATTCTGCTGCTGCTGAATTCAGTCTTCCTTCATCCTCTCTCATCTGCTACCTGGAACATTTTTTTTTTTTTTAATCATTTCCTTTATTTCATAGATTACCACATTAGTATGTATTCCTAAACAATATTGTTTAGTTTTTCTTTTAACTTTATAAAGGGTTAACATCTGTATATATTCTTTTGTGACTTGCTTTTTCACTCAGAATTACTCACATTGTGGTTTATTAATTTGCACTCATACCATAAACAATAATATATTGCTTCAATCTACTTGATGGATATTTAGATTATTTTTCATTTTTTTGCTATCATGGAAAGTGTCGTGATCATTCTTGGAGCCCATGTGAAGTTTCTGTAGGCTAGGATATATATCTAGGAGTGGAATTGTTGGGTTTTAATATATTCTGTGTTCAACTTAACA